TGCTTCTACAACTCATAGTTTTCTAGTTAAAAGGTTTAATATTAAGTACAAAGAAGTTAAAGGGCAATAACTCATATAAAGAGTTATCAGATCCTTTTGCACTAATACAGTGAAATTAGGCCTAAGGACCCTTAAGACATCAGTGAACGTCTGGTGTGTCTACCGTCTACAGTTTTGAAGGAGTAGCGATAACGAGGTTTTTCGCACAAGGGGCAATAACTTTTAAAAGGGTTAATGTTAGGGGACAAGAATAAAAACTTTCAAATAGTTTTAAGAGGACATATTAATGTTGCAAAGACTTTGAGTATATATTGAAAAACACAAGAGATATAAAAAGACCTAAATTTCTCATTTTTGGAATGACCTTGACTTTTGACCTTTGCATAAATTTAAGGACAAAGGTCAATAAATCATATGCAGCGGGTCCCATGTCTCTACGACTTCTCGTTTTAAATTTTTTTCATTATTTGTAAAATTCAAAAACGTTCAGGGGCAATAACTCATAGTAGGGGTTTACAAATCCTTTCGCAATGAATAGATCCGAAGATCCTTTCAAGTAGTGGCAGACATTAATAAAGGTCTGGAATCTGCGGTTTACAGTTTTGGAGGAGCAGTGATAGCAAGCATTTTTGGCAAAAGGGGCAATAACTTCTTTAAGAGTCAAAGTTCATATACGCAGGGTCAACTGCGAAAATCATTTACGAAGTATATTCTTATGGTCTGTAAATCTTTTCGATAAATCTTGAAACTCAAAAACACGTTTGGCGGAAAAATAATAATAATAAACAGAACAATTTCAATAGGTCTTTCCTCAGAAAGGTGGAACGACCTAATAAGGCCTCTAAAAAACCTGAATGATATACATCTTTTAAGTGCAAAATAAATACAATTAAGGTTGTGAGATAACTTTTTCTTTTAAAGTTTAAGGTAAATTAACTATGCTTCAAAAAAAAATTATGAAATAAATATTTTTTGTCATACTTGACATGGTTGCCAGGGCAACCAAGATAACATGCATTTTATACAATCAAAAATTCAATGAAACAACAGATTTTTGAGCAACTATTTTTTAGGGGCACTACGTAATCTGGTAAAGTCTTTCATTTAGAAAGATAGAACAAATGTTATATTTCGGTTTAAATAAATAAAACTAGTTCAACATTTTTTGGTTTTTTGTTCCTAACCTGGGTTTTCAAGGTTTATCATAAGTATTGTACTAAAATCCCGGGAAAAGAATTCCTCTTTCTTTTTCGGATGTGACGCATTTTTTTTCCTCAAAATGACTGATAGCAAGAAGGGGGAATGTTTCAAGAGTTACACCAAAAGGCATCTGTGTGGTGATGATCTGGAAAATCCCCGGATCTGAATCCCGTTGAATACATTTGGGATTTTAAAAAGAAATGTCATCCCCCTCCCCTTTCCAAACAATTTCAACGGTTTGGAGATATCTATGCAGTAGGTGTGACAGCAGATTGGTCAATCTCCTATTCAGGGGTACATGGTATCCAACAGTAAAGGATGTCTTGCAGTAATTAGAGCGAGTGGTGGTCTTACTCCTAGAGATTAATTTGTATGGATTTTTATTTTTAGGGTATATCATTTTTTTTTATGAAAATTGCTCAAAATTTAACGAGATACATGAAATTTACGCAACATCGAACTGATACATATACAGGGTGTCCTAAAACATATGTTGAACTTTTGATCATCTATAGCTTTATCAAACCAAATTCATTCACAAAGATATTTTATCAACGTATAGTGTATTAGCATACATTTTATCTGACAAACTTTCGAGGAATTTTGTAAAAAGTCAGGCATATATGATGTCCTTATGACGTCATCATATTTTTGATTTGGAATCTTCATGTGAACAGCTGGTAAAAATGGTAAGAATTGTAAAACTTTGCTATGCGTCTACATCTCTACTTATTTGTCATTATAACCATTAGAAAACAACATCTTGTAATGAAAGTGCTCAGTAGAATACTAATTTACAGATTTGTGAGTTTTAAATTTGGAGGCACCAGAAATGAGGTATGACTTAATTCTGTTTTTAGAAGACCAAATTAAAGAGTGTGCGAACCAGAGGGAACGTTGATAAAATGACAGAGTTATTACTGAAACTTACAAAAATATCCCTTAGACGGGTCCTGCATGAATTAGTTACACATGTAGCACCTTTCGTAAATTTACTGTTTATAACATACTCAAAAATGTTCTCAAAACTTTAAAATGGATTCCTTACACGTAACGTGGTATGCACCATGCAGCATTTGAAAGAAACAAAAATAAAGGTCCTTTACAGTTTGTCCAGTAGATTTTAATTAGACCTGACTCTGAAAATTTAAAGATGCAAGGGTTTTTGGATGAAGCCCACTTCCATTTTAACAATGTTGTTAAAGAGAATCTTAAATTCTGTTGTTTGTTGTTTGGTGAAACCTAATTTTACTGTAGAAAAAACTCTAAAATATTGAAATCGTGCTAAACAATGTTAATTCAAACGGACGTGATTATGAACATGCTGTAAAATGACATATGTTGTTGCAAAGAAAAAAATGATGATTAATAATGAAGCTGTGACTAATGTTTGCTTGCTAAAAAAATTTAATATTTTTTTACATATGTAGAATTTCATTACTGAACTTGAGGCATAACATTTTTGAGTTGGCTCGCGTAGCGAGCTACTCCCTGTCGACATAGCCGTTTCAGAGGGTGAAATGTTTCAGAGCTGTAAAATTTTTCACGCATTCATCAAGGTGATCCATACGCCAAAGATAATAGTTCTAGCAAAACATGCTTTGGTTTGAGTGATTGTATAAACTTAAGAGGTAAAAACTGTAACATTATTTATGCCTTCATGCTTTTAAAGAAATTTTTGATTAAATACCTGTAAGAGGTATAATTACTGCGTATGAATGTGTTCGAACATGTTAGACAGATCTAATCTTCCCATCTGAAGTTTATTTATAATTGACCTAGAATACTCCCTAACACAAACACCTTAGCTGCAGCTAGTTGTTGTTGAAAATCTATTTTTAGAATCCAGATATACTGTGAGAATCTTTAACCTAATTATTCCATAACACTGACCACTTCAGCTAATGTGCTGAAATTCATTACAGAATCCAGTCAAAATAATACGGAAGCCCATTAGTGCCAACCTGTATTTATAAAGGAAAAGCAATATATTCTTTATTTATGAACCGAACATGGATCAGACATATAATATTCAATCTCTTAAGATGCAAAATAAATTGAATATATTAAGGTATGGTGCCCAGATGTATGAAAAAGCTCAAATGACTCTAGCGAGTCAACTCGCAGGCCCCTCAGGCCTTTGATTATAACAGTTGAAAAAATGAAACATTTTTTTTTTGGACAGCCTGTACATCATTAATCATGAATTATGGATTTTTTGTGGTATGAATTTGTTCTTTAAAACTTTAAAAATGTTAAGTGAAAAGTTAAGTTTGGTTCAGTGTACGAAATAAGTCTTTAATAATTTTCCGAAGAAACACTGGGCCAGAAAAGCGAAAACGTAGATAGAAGCAACCAGTCAGCGGTAAGGTTGATTTTTAACAGTTTAAATCACGACCCCGCGGCCGGGGGCACATGTAGCGTCGGGACACAACTAGTATTACAAAGGGGGACATTTAGTAAAAAAAAAAAAACGAACCAAGCATCACAATAATTACTCATGTAAATCATGTACTCATGGGGTCCCTGGGCCTCTTGATATCTTCTATATAAATACCTTGAAATAGCATTACAATTGAATTGCACATCACATTTACAGAAAGAAGAGGCAGATTTTGCATCCAAACTAGAAAATCATCTTGTGAATATAAACTATAGTTTGAATGAATATGAATTTGGGAATTTCAACCAATCCATAAATGCATGTGAAAGTAAAAGGCCCAATGAATGTAACATTTGTATGAAAACATTTAATCATCCACATGGGTTACAGAAACACACGAGGATACATACAGATGGTAAACGTCATAAATGTGATGTGTGTGGAAAGACATTCAAACACCCATGTAGAGTACAGAGACACATGAGAACACATACAGGTTATAGACCTTATAACTGTAATGTGTGTGGAAAGGCATTCAAACTGTCACATCACCTACAGGATCACATGAGAATACACACAGGTGATAAACCTTATAAATGTGATGTTTGTGGAAAATCATTCAGCCACCCACAGTATTTAAAGAGTCACAGGAGGACACATGTAGATAAAAGACTTTATAAATGTGATATGTGTGGAAAGGCTTTCAACTCCCAAGGAAAACTACAGATGCACACAAGGACACATACTGATGAAAAACCTTATAAATGTGATATTTGTGGGAAGGCATTTAAACTGTCACATCAACTACAGGATCACATACGAATACATACAGGTGATACACCTTATAAATGTGATGTGTGTGGGAAAGAATTCATTCGGTCGCCTGACTTAAACAGACACATGATGATACATACTGGTGATAAACCTTATACATGTGATGTGTGTGGGAAGGCATTCAACAGATTGAATAGCTTACAGAGGCACATTAGGACACATACAGGTGATAAACCTTATAAATGTGATGTGTGTGGGAAAGCATTCTCCCTCTCAGAAAACTTACAGAGGCACATAAGGACACACACAGGTAAAAAACCATATGTATGTGATGTGTGTGGGAAGGCATTTGCTCAATCTAAAACCTTACAGGCACACGTGAGGACACATACAGGTGAGAAATCTTATGAATGTGATGTGTGTCGCAAGACATTCAGCCAGTCACAGTATTTAACGAGTCACTTGAGCACACATACTGGTGAAAAACATTATAATTGTGGTGTATGTGGGAAAGCTTTCTGCCAGACACAACACGTACAGAGTCACATGAGTACACATACAGGTGATAATCTTCATATATGTAATGTTTGTGGAAAGGCATTCAATTGTTCAAAAAAATTCGAAAGACATTGTAGGATACATAGTGTTGACAAACCTTACATATGTGGTTTGTGTAAGAAAACGTTCTGTGAAAAAGTGGATTTAAGTATACACATGAGGACACATACAGATGAGAACCTTATAATGTGATGCATGTGAAAAGGCATTCTAACAATAAGGTAACTTACATTCATATATGAGGACACAAACACTTTATAAACTTTTTGAATGTGATGTGTGTGGGAAGGCTTTCAACAGATTCAGTATATATATAATACACGGTTCAGGAAAGGAAACATTCAATTGACAAACCATAGAAATTATATATATTAGGCCTTTCAACTAATTTTTCAAGTTGCACATACATGTATAGTAAAAATAACTATTCATTGATAGATTATAGGTATAGATCAAAAAGACGATAACTTATGCATAATTTAATTAAGGACATACGCAATGTACCTTACCTACTGATAACTTTTCATTTTATTCTAAATTTAAATTTATAATACCATTACATGTTCTCAGACAAAAAAATCAGCATGTGTTACCAGCAGTTTTAAAAAATATCAAATTATGAGAATTTTTGCATTATTCAAAGAAAAATTTCCATACTTACAAAACATTATCCAGATTTTTTTCCCATGAAAATTTGTCACAGAAAATAAGTACAAATCCATGTTTAAACATTTAAAGTATTGGCACATAGATCCTTTATTTAGTGGAACTTTTCAACTCCAGGGAAGAACCCAGTAAAGTTCAAACTACGTTGCGTATGACCTTTAATCAATAAAAACTTTAATTATTTATAAATGAATTATACGATGTTGGTTTTGAAGGACAGGTAACTCAGGTGTGTAAAATGACAAATTAAAGGTGAACACTACTCGTAAATAGGCATAGTCCGCCATATTTACCATTCTTCAACGTTCTCCCTACAACCCGTATAAAAGGAGATCGCTGATCAGTCCATTGCATTTCACTGTAGAAATCTGACGAGTGTAGACGTACTTCTTACAATGCGCTACTAAATCTCGATGAAATTATCAAATTTGACATGTGGGAAGGCTTAAGCACTGAGAAGGGTGTCATGCCTCTTCAATGTCATATGAATGAGAAAGAAAAAAAAAACAATAAGTGAGAAAAGACATTTTAATAGTTATTAGATGACTTATCCAATGGCTTGTTTTGTTTAATACAAATATATTCAATTATTACATTTTTTTACTGCATTTTAATGTTCAATTATATAAGTTTGTTTTCTTAGTAATTTTTTTTTTTTCGTATTTTTCTTAATGTCTTTACTTGCAGGTACTTTATTTTTTATGTGGTGTCTAAATTGTTTAATTCCAGGGTTGTTTTATTTGCACTCGAATAGAACACATAAAATTTGTATATTAGGAACACTTAACATATTGATCATGTTGATAGAAATATTAACAACAAAAGCAGAATTATATTTTACAATCTTAGGTACATCTATATTGTAAGGTCCTGCCAGATGAATAAAATTTAACTATGATGTACTATGTAATAGTTATTGGGTGGGTGGACTTTACATGTAATGATATTTCATTTAGGTCAAAACGTTATGACAACAATGGCTGAGAATTTTAGAATTTGTATTTATATTTACATGCCATGAATAAGCTACCTTTCATCTTAAATCTGCATGTATTTCTTGAGCTACATTGTACATGTAACTGTTATCATCAGTTCTACATGTGTGGATAAGCTGTAATACTTTGAATCATCTGATGCCATGGCACTTATTTACATTCTGTCTGCCATCTTTTTATTGGTGCATGTTAAGTACAATTCGTATTTTGCCAAACTTATTATCCATGCTATATCACGGGCATAAATTACTTGCAGTTTATTATGTCAATTATTATTTTGGGTTCTTCTATTCATTCTAGCCATTATAATTCGTGCGTACATATATATGTCTACAAGTTCCACTATACATGTATTTTTATCCATCTGCGATATCGTCTGCATACTCAACAAGTTCATTTTTGTGAAATTTACAAATTTCAGAGTAAAATTTCATACTTAGTTATAACAGACACATCTTTCGTTATTCATATTTATTGGTTATTTTGTCTTCTAACATTTTAATTTCGTTTCGCAGTTTTTATCCTCATTGTACGGCAAATTTGTTTGTACTGCTTGGTAGATCTCTGTTTGTACTGTACCATACAGTGTCGTGATTGGTGGATCGTCGCTGTACAGCATTGTTAATGGTTGAATCTAGTCATGTGACCCTTTTCCAAAAATTATATACAGTGGACCTTCAGATATCCGGACGCCAGATATCCGGATGCTTCTCTATCCGGACGATTTTTCTTCGGAACGAAATTTTCAAATGTTATTTTGTGTTGTTTTACTGGTGATTCAGATATCCAGGTGCTTCACATATCCGAACAAATTGACTGGGAACCAAAGCGTTCAGATGAATGAGGGTCCACTGATCGCATTATGTAAACAGATAATTTGTCGAGTTGTCAGGCGCCTATATTTCAAAGAGAAAAGTCCAATACCCGCCCATATTTTTACTGAAGACGTATATAGCATTATCATTGTGATTTCAGGTGAAAAAATGATCGACAATTTTCTCCAAACACTTGACACTTATTTTATTGTAATTAACTGTGGGGATCATCCTTGTATAGCCATTGTACCCCCACCCCCTTTTATAATAGTAGCTTGTACAGTAGACGTCACCAGAGTTTATTATTGTACCTGTTAAAATGAGAAATGATTTATGATTAATAAATATTGTTGAGACAAAGACGAATCTTATGTTTTTTTCCCTATAACTAGAGGAGCAAGGATTTTAGTACAGGAGTACTATCAGAATTTATTTTGTAGCGTCCTTGACTTAATCTTGGCCACTCCCAGGGATCTTACAATATCACAAGAGTGAATAAAACCTTGTGATATTATTTTTTTCTGTCGTTTGTTTTTGTTTTTTTTTATACATGTAAATGGATAACATTTTACAATTTCTTACAAATAATGCGAGGAATATATTCAATTAAACCTGCATCAGGGCGTCTAGTAATAAGTTCTATTAATCTTTTCTTCTCAAAATAACCATGCCAGAGCTATGAAAATAAAAATTCTTGATATTGATCGTGATTAAAGAAATTCACAAACAATATATAAATAAAAAGGCTTAAAACACTGACTCGTGAAAAATCAGTGGTGGAATCAGGAGCTGAAGAGAAGTAAGCGTTCCCTGTTTACCGGTCACACTATATCAATAATGCAGAAATAAAATTGAAACCACTATAACCAGGAAGTATGTTGCGCATGTGAAAAAAACTTTTTTCAACTGAAAAAGGGAAGTCTGAAAATTAAACCAAAATTAGGGAATATATACAGGACAAGCTCATTTGGTAATGAAGGTTATTCATGAAATCGTTAAGTACTGTCCTTAGAGGGGGAATTTCCTGCAGTATATGGGATATATCATTAGGGAAAAAATGGAATTGAAAAGAGTTTGCAGTGAATTCATGAGGATATTACGATGTAGTAGATGAAGATATCATTTAACAAAACACTATATGGTAGATAAAGGATGCCAGGGCATCAACAATTGCAATTAGAAACTTTGGATTATTAAGAAATAATAAAATTGGGTGACACTATTTGAATTTTTCTTCTCAAGAACCATTGGGCTGCCTGCTAAAGAAGGAAATTTACGTGGCATTCCATACTATTGAAAATTTATGTGCTGTTTACATTTTTTAATGATCTTGTTTTGAGCGAGGGCAGAGAAACATTAACATGCGTATATTTTTTTTTTAATTAAAAATAAGGATTTTATTTCAATTATGTATTATGTTTGATAGCTGAAATAAGCTGAATATTTTTAAACTCGCATATTCTTATATCTCATTCTGCAAGATACACGGGAAGGTATAATGCCCTGATAGTATAATGCCCCGATTGACCTAATTACATATACATGTATGTACAAAAAATAAATAGCTTTTTAGTTGCACTCATTGAAAACTATGAATATTTATAATTCTCATTTTCTTTTAGAATCATAAAGAACATGCAAGATAAAATTATCTTTTTATATCTATCTTTATTATGCGCCCGGATCGATAGATCCGAGGCGTATATTGTTTTTGTCCTGTCTGTCTGTCTGTCTGTCTGTTTGTTTGTTTGTTTGTCCCCAAACTTTAACCTTCGCCATAACTTTTGAACCATGAAAGGTAGAAACTTCATATTTGGTATGCATACTTCACTAACTAGGTGCTTTCAAATGACACCAATATTAATGACCTTGTGACCTTGAATGTGACCTATATGCTAAAAATAGCTTTTCTGTCTGCAAACTTTAACCTTCGCCATAACTTTTGAACCATAAAAGATAGAGACTTCATATTTACTATGCATACTACACTAATAAAGTTCTTTCAAATGACACCAAGATCAATGACCTGGTGACCTTGACTGTGACCTAGATGCTAAAAATAGCCTTTTAGTACTTTTCACCATAACTTTTGAACCATAAAAGACATAGACTTCATAATTGGTGTGCATACTCCACTAATCAAGGTCTTTCAAATGACAACAAGGTCAATGACCATGTGACCTTGAATGTTACCTTTGCTAGTATGCTAGAAATAGCTTTTTCGATTTTTGTTGCCGCCGGGCGCATAGTGTTTCACAAACACATCTTGTTTTTTTTTTATCTTTAATTTAAGGTTTTATTTGATATACATGTATTGAATTGAAATACCAATACATGAAACCTTCAATTTTCATTTTTTTAACATGAATTTTTTGTCATAGTAAATTAAATCCTTTTTCAATAAAAGAATTCTCAATACACAAATACTTTGTATTTATATATATATGTAGAAAATTTTATCATGGTAAATATGTCGTGAATGTTGTTATGCGTTATGACCAGATTTTTTACTTACCAAATCTGGTCATGACCAGATTTTTACATGCTTGAGGTTGGCAAATATGGCATTATTCCTTTATTCTTTTACAGGTCTTTGAGATCAATAATCGAAAAAAACAGACCATGTCAGAGTTTGATGTGGAGACGGCTATATCCAGCACCAGAGATCCAGAATCTGGCCAGGGAGAAGAATCTACTGGTATATATACATATATCAATAGCAAAGTTCTTGGTAAACCAAGGCCCCTTGTCACAGTAGGTGTGGCACGAAAAAGATCCCTCACTGATCAAAGGCTCTGAGTGCCGAGCATAGGCCAAAATTTGTAGCCCTCCACCGGCAAGCGGTGGCATCTCCATATGAGTGAAAAATTCTCGAGAAGGACGTTAAACAACATACAATAAATCAATCACCTCTGACTTCTAAGGAGAGATAATTATGAATTAGTAAAAAATTAATGGCATATATTAAAAATTGTGTTCTGAAGAACCATGGGGCCAGGAAAGATGAAACTCATTTGGAAGCTTCTTCAGGTTGTGTAAATTCAATTGTTTTTCTTCAAATAATCACCCTCAGGAGTAGGAGTTTAAACAAAGTTTAGGAATACATCTAGGGAAAATCTTTTAAATTCTTCTTCTCAAGTACATGAAAGCCATAATTGGTCATAGATATAAGGAAGCATCCTTGTGTGGTGTAGATTCAAGTTTGTTCATACCCCTGGGGTTAGGGCAGGGACATGATGGTGATCATAGTTAAACATAGGAATTCTGAATACATAAGGACAATCTTTAGTATTCTTCTTCTCAATAACAGGAAAGTCATGATTGGTCATAGTTTTATGGAACCATCCTTGTGTGGTGTAGATGTAGATTCAAGTTTGATCAAACCCCCGAGGGTAAGGGGATTCAATGATGTGGGTCAAAGTTTAACATAGGAATACTGAAGAAAAATCTTAAAAATTCTTTTTCTCAAGAACAGCAAAGCCATGTTTGGTCATAGTAATATGGAAGCATTCTTGTTTGGTGTATACAGATCTCCAGATAAGGTGCTTATTTGCAGAAATATGCATTGAATTTTACAAAATAAGCATTAAAATTAAAAAAGAGTATACAATTAAGCATTAGCAATCAAAAATATGCATTACACTATAAAAATACTGCATACAAGGTGAAGAATACAGGTACGACTTACTTAATGATGCAAATCAAGGTTAACCCAGTGTTGGATTGATCTGACATGTACATGTTAACCTATGGTGATGAAAAATAGGGATATTCTGACCACATAAGCGGTAGCATTCCGTGATCGTTGTTAGCTCTACTGGTCAGAGACCAGAAGAGCATATGCGATAGTAATGCGGCCGGCGTCCGTCTGTCTGTCCAGCTGTCTGTCTGTCTGTAAACAATTTTTCAAAATGCTGCTCCTACAGTTTTGATCTGATTTCAATATGACTTTGCACACAAGTAGACTACACTAAGATACATAATTCTGTGTATCGTTTGATTTTGACGAATCGTGATGTCGTTGTTACTAAAAATAGAAATTTCTGTAAAATTCTTTCAAAATGCTACTCCTCTTACAAATTTGGTCTGATTTCAATATAACTTGGCACACAAATAGACTACACTAAGATACATAATTCTGTGTATCGGTTTTTGATTTTGACTAACGGTGTTGACGTTGATACTTAAAATAGAAATTTCTGAGAAATTCTTTCAAAATGCTACAACTTCTACAGTTTTGGTCTGATTTCAGTATAACTTGGCACACAAGTAGACTACACTAAGATACATAATTCTGTATATCGGTTTTTGATTTTGACGAACTGTGTTGGTGTTGTTACTAAGAATAGAAATTTCTGTGAAATTCTTTCAAAATGCTACTCCTCGTACAAATTTGGTCTGATTTCAATATAACTTGGCACACAAGAAGACTACACTAAGATACATAAAATAGTGCTTCGGTATTGATTTTGATGAAAAGTGTTGCCATTGTTATTAAGAATAGAATTGTCTGGGAAATTCCTTTAAAATGCTATTTCTTCTATAGTTTTGGTCTGATTGCATTGGATACTTTTCTCATCCTTTGTTATGAGGACAAAACAGTAGAGGTACAGTCTCGACAGAGACTTCTGCTTTACACTTGTATTTATGAAGATATATTGCATGTAATATATACATGTATGGCCTTAAATAAAGATACAATAATTAATCTTAAATATCTATTGCAAAAAAAGGCAGAAATACATTACGTTTGACATAAATTATACATATTCAAATATTTTTTATGGCTATCATTTTGCTTTGATTGGCTTCTTAGCTTAGCTTTTTGAAGAGTGATCTTTGCTGATATGGCCTAGAAGCAATAATTCTGAATGTTCATCCAATTGTTAAACACAACAAATGATGACAAAGTTTAGTCTAGATCTAAAACTAGTCCATATGTTTCGTTACAAAATCATATTTCCCGTGATGAACGAAAACGAAAGTAGAAATGTGCCTCATGGCTTAGTCTCATTTTCCCCAGACTCTCGCTCTCGAGACTTTGCCCGTGCGAGAGTCTGGTCTGATTCCTATTTAATTTTTGTAACCAGTAGAGGTTGCTAAACTGGCAAAAAAGATGGAGACTCCCATGAAAATACATGTGAAAATTTACTAATTTGATTTCAAAACGAATTACAGATTTAAAAACCTTCTAGTGACCAGGAAAATAAAATCGAGCCATATAAGTGGATCATATAGATTTATACAAAGGAATATAAAAATTATATCAATAAATTCTTTCATCTTATAAACAGCAAAGCCATTTCAGTAAAACTGAGACCAATGAAATTATGCTATATAACTGTAATTCATTATATTTGTATTAGAACTTCATTAAATTTATATAGCTGGGGACCCAAGATAACTTCGCTATATCCGTAAATTTGCAATATCCGTGTTTGTACTAACTGAATTTTACTGTATGTATCATTTTTATTCAAAAGTATCAGCAAGAAGTATTGATTGAAGTTTGTTCAATTACCTACCTCCCCCTTCTCCGTTGAACCCCTTTCTCTA